GTATGTCGAAACTTTACTTCGCTCGTTCTTACAAAATACCACAATTGCTGAGTTGTTGGAAAATTATCCAACTGAAACGTTGGTGTACTGGTAGCACACGTGCCAGGAATAGTTAGACCCCCAGCTGCGACCAAAGCGTTTTGTGCGTAGTTTGGTGATCCAGCGACATGTTGAACGTTTTTTGACGGTATTTGGAGTCCTTGTTCGAAACGCTCGTTCTGCCATTTGATACGCCTCGATTTCTGATCATTCGATCCGGAGGAATGCAGAAAAATCGTCCATGACAAGCCTGATGCTCCAAAAATCTCAAGGGGCTCTCGGCACCTCACGTGTCTTCACGACTACTTCAGTCAAATGAGGAATATTGCATACACTTTCGAAAACTCTGCCAGTGAACAGTCAACAGGAAAGTCCCCACTAAAATGATTCACTCGTTTAAGTGGGCAGGGAGTATACTCCATATTGCGCAAATGGCTAGGGCGTGGCTGCGTCTTTCACTCGAGCAAGGCGTGGAATGAGCTTTTGTTGAACTTTTCCCCTGAGACAAATATCATCTTCTGTCAGACGAACGTCTTACGACCCCCCCCCTCCCTCGCTTGTTACGCCCCTCCCCTCCTCAGTTCTTGCTTCTGATACGATCGAGCCATCGAGCGGGGGGGGGGGAGGTAAGGGGATGGTATATAGTAGCAATGAAACAGGAAAGAACAACACTGGAAGGAAATTTTTTCTCAATGCTCAGATTTCTCTCAGAAGGCAAATGCTATACCCCCTCTCCCAACAACAAGCAAATACGACCCCCAACTATAAAAAAAACTTCTCACACCAAATGCGAGCCTTCCCCCCTGTTGGGGAATCCCCAAAAACGATTTGCCCTGGTGGGCTTACAATTGTTGTAACCGAGATGAAGCCCGGCAGAACTTCTGACCTCCTCCCTTAATATGTTTTTTTCTTTTTTTCCTAATGGAGCTTACTTCTATCACACTGACTTCTTTTTAAATTCTGCAGCCTCACAGCGGTCAAGATCTAATGGTAACATTCCCATGCACAATGCCTTCAACACCAATCCACTTTTGGTATGCGCCACGCATTTTACTTGCATTCAGAATCGTAATGGCATTTTGGCGATTTGTCCCACACAGTGATTTTCCAATGTAGAAGAAATGGTCCTTGAACGACCAAAGAAATCTGGTTCCAATTTACGAACCCCTGGAGGCTGAAGACTTGACGGCACTAGCGGGAGCCGTTTCCTTGACCCCTGAATCATGCGCTGGTGAGCTGTGCTACCGGCAGCGTCGTTACCCCTGACCCATCAAAGAGACTGTTTTTCTAGTTTTTTTTTCCGAATTCGGTCATTGAAGTGGGTAATTGTGAATTTTCAGATATCCCAAACGTTACGAAAGAGACGATCGATGTAGCTGAGCAGGTGAAAAGCCGACTGGCTGAAGATGTGCACAGTTACTACACTTATGAGCTACGCAAACCAAACTATGCATCACGTCTTCACAAGATGAGCAGTATCGTGTCTGCAGTGGATGTAAGTAACTTGTTTGTTAGCTGAGCAGGTGAAAAGAGAGTAAGACCCACCGATAGTCACCAATGTGCTCCGCTTGTAAAGTTACCCTGTGGCCAAAATTAGTAGTTCACCCAGCACTGGTCAATCACTTTTAAGATGAGCCACGAACTGGACCCGCATTCGTAATGGTAGCAGCCTCTATTCGAATACCTATTCGCTGTGGGATAGAGGTGGGGGGGGGGCGGCGACGTATGAAAGATACCGTTGATCTACTTTTTTGGAGTGTAGCACCTATTCTACTTCCATTAGGAATGGCTTATTGAGCCCTGTAAGGCCGATACAATGAACTGCACCGTGCCCCAGCCGCCGTGATATTCACTTGTAGACTAATTCGAACTCGATGGCCACCATTCACAGTTCCCCCAGCACGGTAGGGGCTTTTTCGATCTGGGCAGGAGCCGTCCGGGATTTGACTCTCAGACCGCGCGCGTGGTAAGCGTGCCACTTGCCAGCTCATCTTCGCCCGGCGAAGTACAACCGAAAAAGAAGAAAAAACGCCTTAATCCTTTCTCAGTGCCCCACTCTTCAACGTTTGCGTGAAGTTAAAAACAAAAAATAAACCAGTTGGGAAGATTTTATTCAAAATTTTTTCTCAGGAATATTCATACTGGAGTTTCGTGACACGGGTGGTTCTTTTCCCCTTTCCGCCCACCTTGAACGACGGCATTCAACACGAGTATCGCGCCTGCTTGACTCAAAACTGTCTTGCTCCAGCGCAGTAAGCGCCGCCACTCAAATATCAAAGTATTGAGTTCTTTGAAAACTCCAGGGGTATTTTGACCTCCTAACACGAGCACTAGCGTGAAGTGAGAAAAGGCTGGTTACGGCTGGTACGCTATAGGAGTCGGCAAAAGAAGTGCCTATAGACTGGTGCCCTTGGCTTAGGCACCAGGCACTTTTGTTCTAAACATAAGTGATTTTTGTGTTCATGAGGTCAAGCTAGCCTCAGGCATGAAATTCTAGCCAAATCTTCCTTAGCAGAAAAAACTGCGGTCAAAATCGGACCTTAGTTGGGGCAGAAAAGGGTAAATAGTGCCGAAAACAAGTGTGCTAAAAGAACCAAGGGTTACTCGTTCAGCCTCCTCAGGCTCATTAATGAGCTTCAGGGGTGACGAAATAAACACAGGGAAGAACTGACGAAAAAAACTAAGGGAGAGAGGCGCATTAATCATTGGACACAAGCCAGTAGTTCTATCCTCTAGAAGAGTCTCGTGCCAGATAACCGACCTCTGAAGGCTTGATTGGCTCGCGCAAGGTGTGGTCCAGGATTTGACCTCCTAAGTGGGCGTGCGATAGCGACGTGTTCAGCCCCTTGCTACCATGAATAGACTAATGAAACTGACTTTTTTGATCTTTACAAGTA